ACCAGCCGCTTATCGTATTTTAAGCAAATCCAACAATCTTTCCCGGGGTTCCAAAGCGACCACTCCCCCAGGCCCATCGTCGTTGTACGCATACACTTCAGTAAAAACCTCATCCTGGTACTCGGAGAAGTAGGAGACCCAATCCCAAGGATCCTCCACGACCCAGGTCTGCGGGTCCTTGTCATCCTCAGACGCAAACAGAACACCCTGATCAGCGAGGGCCATCTCCATATCCTCTTTCCCTACTTGTTGATCGGACCCGTTCGGCTCATCCCCAGATATCTCCAAGATGCTTGATGTGCTACAAGTATTGTTCGTAGAACTCTGGGAAGATTCGACTTGTCTGTTTAAAAGATTGTATCCGACATTGTCAGTTATAGTACCTGAAAAGCAGAGGATAGAGGTGAGTTTGACATCAATGACAAAATCATCCTTCCACCACTAATCAAGTGAAAGGACACTGATAAACAAGGACCATGTCCCCGACCAGAACCCTCACTAAGGAATCTGAACAAACAAACGCTTTTCCCAACAAGACAAACTCCAGTCAGCAAAAACGACCTAAATCCTTAAGGATCATCTACGGAACATCAAGAAAATTCAGGGAGGATCCTTGACGGCTCCGACGATTCTAAACTACAGAACCACCGTCTGCCACCAACACTCCCCGAGAACGGCCTAACAAACAGGATCCTAAGCCTAACCGCATGCATTTCTAAGAGGAAAATCGTAAAAAATTAGGCTACAACAGCTAAATAACAACGAAAATATGGAATCTTATCAATTAAAGAAGATAATAAGTTGAAAGGAACAACGACAAACCGTTAATCTTCAAGAAACAACAGCGATTGACAAGCGAGCAATAACGAGCAATGCGAGAGAAGAGAGAAAAATATGCATAATGCCCTACTCCTCTCATATTTATAGCTAAACTCACTCGCGCGTGAGAGACATACGCCTAGGGAACTGTAGGATCGTCATCATCCGTAGCCCCTAAGCCATCATTGCGCCACTGCGTCAGCGTACTACCAAAAAAAGACCTATTTATAATGTGAGAAATTGCGTTAAATTGTTAAATTAGGATATTACCCAAACAGTAAAAAGTTCAAAAATTCTATCTTGGTTAGCAAGTTTAAGAATCTGGTCTTATTTGTGACTCTGTACATGATACGATACGAAAAAGATTTTATTTATTTTTAGATTTTTTGTCTATTTTTTACATAAAATAACGATTTAAATAAAAAATAATATTTTAAATATACAAAATATAGGAAAACGAAAAATACTATTTAAATAAATAAAAAAAATACTTTTTTTATGATTTTTTTGGAATAATGTAAAAAATGTAAAGAACGCTAAAAATAAAATAGAACGGAACGCAAAAGTTAGGAAGGTGGAATTCGAACACATGACCATATATTTGCAAGTCTCACCTCCTTATCAATTGTGCTATCTAATTTATTTGAAATAAAAAGGTAATTGAAAGTATATGAAAGTGGAAAAATATTTGCTATATAAAATTATAAATAATTTAAAAAATTATTATATATTTTTAAAGTTAAACAACTAGAAACTCCCAAAATATTAGTGTAAATAAACCAGAGAAATTTATAACCACCAAGTTTGAAAGTCATTTGAATGTTAGAAATAGGGCGGGAAAATTTGAGATATGACATGCGATAGAAAGGTTCAGGGAGGCATGTATACAGGGTATAGAGTGGGAAATGGTGTAGGAAAGCCATTTACGCATCTAGAGTTTGTGTAGGAGAGTCATTCAGTAGGCTTTTAGAGCTTTTATAAGAGTATGTTGGTAGGTGTCAATATTTATAATTCTTGGCTGAAAGAGGCGGCTATGGTGTTAAATTGTAAGTTGGGAAGTATTTCGTTTGTGTATCTGGGGCTGCCTATTGGGGGTGATCCGCTGAAGCTTAATTTTTGGCATCTGATGTTGGAAACCATCAAAAATAGGTTATCAGGGTGGAAATTCCGCAATCTTTCGTTAAGTGATCGTTTTATTCTGTTGAAGTTTGTTATGTCCTTTATTCCAGTTTACTTCCTTTCTTTCTTCGAGGCTCATGCATGTATCATTTCTTATCTTGAATCTTTATTTAATGCTTTCTTTTGGGAAGGTATAGAAGAAAAGAGGAAAATAGTGTGGATTGATTGGGATATAATATGTTTGAGTAAGGAGAATGGTGGGTTAAGGTGAGAAGGTTAAGGGAGTTTAATGTCGTTTTATTAGGGAAATGGTGTTTGAGGATGTTGGAGGAGAGGGGAAGTCTTTGGTATATGGTGTTAGTTCATCGCTGTAAGGAGGAAGGGGTGGTTGAGGTATGGGGTAGTCGGAGGGTCTGTGTGGTGGAAGAATGTAAATAGCATTAGACAGGGGAATGGGTTGTTTGAAAGCGGGTGGTTGCTCAATAATATTGAGCATTCAGTAGGTAATGAGGTAAACTCTCTATTCTGGAGGGATCCTTGGTTGGAAGGAGGGGTGTTAATGACTAGATTCAGTAGGCTTTATGATTTATCTGAGTATAAGGGTGCTACTATAACAGAGAAGTTCTCTTTAGGGTGGGGGTGGATAGAGAGGCTTGGACTTGGCGTATGAGGTTGCTTGCATGGGAGGAGGACGTGGTAGGGGAGTGTATTTTTTGTTAGATTTTGTTTTTTTGCAGGACACTGTTGATGATTCTTGGGTTTGGAGACTCAATTCTTCAAATTGTTATAATGTAAGAAGTGCTTATCAGTTCTTAACGAAGATGGTGGATGCTCAATATCTGGTGATTCTCAGGTTTGGTGGTTACAAGCGGTGTCCCTTAAGGTTGTGTTTGGTGATTATATCGCAATAGATTATCAACGAAGGATAACTTGGCTAGGAGAAATATTATTATAGAAGAGGCGCAAACTTTCCCAACTGCATGTGGTCAGAACGAGACACATGATAATTTGTTTGTTCAATGTGATAATTATGGTAAAATATGGTCGATGTTGTCTGGTTGGTTATGATTTTCGACGGCTCTTCAGGATCGTTGTAGGGATCATCATGATCAATTTGTAGCTTTGGGTGGTTGGTCAAAATCAAGTTGATATGTCTTTCGTATTATTTGGGTTGCTGCACTGTGGGTAGTTTAGAAAATGCGGAATCAACATGTTTTTCAGAATAAGAGTTTGTTTGTTGATGTCTATATGTGAAAAGGTTAAACTTCAATCTTTCTAGTGGTTGAAATCTCACTTTCCAACTTTCTATTTTGTTTATCAAAGTTTGAGGGTAACTATTTTACGGTGTATTACATATATTGTCGTCTAGTTTAGAGTTTTATATATTTTAACAAAATTTTTCATTTTTATAAAGATTGATTCAGATTTTTTTAATGAGTTGGTATATTGGAAATGTCATTTTTTTGAATTTTTTTAAGAACGTTTGTAAAATAGTTATTAATTTACTTTAATTAGTAAAATTATCTAAGTTTTAAAACTCACCCCTTTGCATGTTAGTTGATTTATTTAAAAGTTCAAATATATTACCAACAACAAATGTCGACTATTGAAGAAGTGACTAGATTCCAAAAACAAGGAGAACTAATAATTAAATTTTTATCAAAATAGTTTAAATTTTTTTGTTAAGAATTTAAATAGTATGATGAAAATTTTAAAATTTTAATATAAATTTCAAATTATTTTATATTATCAAACTATATCCATTAAGTTGTGTTTGTTTCATATTCAAATTAAAGTATGAGATTTTTTTAAATGAACATTTGATTTTAGAAAATCCGGTAAATATTTGTACTCAGTCTAAAACAAAATAGGTATTCAATGTTATGTATAAACCATTTAATTATAATTATTTAAATAACTTTTTCTTTTAAACATAATATTAAAATTTTAAATATAATAAAAATATTAGATTATAAATATTTAGTAAATTAAATATTAAAATACTCTTTTAAACAATGCCAAGTTTCCATTAAAATTCATTGTTCTTTTGTAAATTAAATAAATGTGATAGAAAGAACACGCACAAACAATTTGAAAAATTATTTTATTATGTTTTTAAAAAATAGCCGTACCATTCTTATATGTCCAAAACACTACTTTATTCACCTAAATTTTATATGTCTAAAACAAAAAAATGTTACAGGCTTGCATTATCTAAACTTCATCTTTCACTATCAAACCTCACAAACCTAAATCTCTGATCTTTATTATTCTATTTTTTTTTCAAGATTAAAGTTAATAAATGATCCACAAACAATAAATCCACCCATATGTTCATCATGGTTAATATCATTAAGGACATTAAAAAAATAGAAAGATTTTACGGTGGTATTAATGATCCTTTCATGCATAAAAATAGTCACTACATCTTAAAGTTATGTCTATCATTAGTGATCATCTATAACGCATCTTTGAGAATTTGATTGGTGTGTTTTTCTCCTTCGTGGTCTCACTTATGTGCACCCATCATTATCTATCTCCCCCAAGTCTTTCTCATTCTCCTCTGTGTACAATAGTTTCAGTTGATGCACTTGATAACCATATATACCATGAAGCCAAAAGTTTTTCTTATGAATTTTAAAGTTTTATCTTGGTCATACGAAGTTTAACTCACCATGATTGAATTCACACTCATCTGTTTGATCACGGGTAATGTAACCACCAGCTAGTAAGGGGAAAACCCCAAACCTAAGACAAAAATCCTTTTATCTCTCCTTTGAGAGCATTTCTTGTACTATACATGGTTTATAAAAACCTTTATTACTATTACCTAAATTGACAAATTTTCTTAACACAATAGTTAAATTAAAAATTCTTAAAATAAAAAATAAAATGAAAGAATAAAGTCAGTAAAAATCTATAAATTTAAAAGATATTTTAATCATAACTTTTGCACCATTTTATTATTATTAATGTAATAAAACAACTTGTGAGTATTCTAACAAGATTGATCTTATTTTAGCCAACAATACGTTTATCACACAAAAACAAAGATTAATCAATCAACTAGATGATGTTGTTTCTTTTTGCTTGAACAATTGAATCAACTTGGTTAAATCAACAAATGAACTTCCATTTTGATCTCTTGCTTCCTTAGAACTTATTTTCGTCTTGAAAACCATTTGTCTAATCTCGTTTCCTTTATATGAGTCCATCAATTCCTTAATGCGGTCTCCTAATTCAATTCGACTCACAAACCCATCTTTTGACTTGTTCAGTTCCAAAGCCACCTTCATTTCTTCAACCAAAATCACTTTGTTCAGACTTTGTTCAGCATACAAAGGCCATGCCACCATAGGCACACCTTCACAAACTGCTTCCAACACCGAGTTCCATCCACAGTGAGTCACGAACCCACCAATTGAATCATGACTCAATATTGCACCTTGTGGAGCCCAATTTCTTACCACCATTCCATTTTCCTTTGTCCTCTCCAAAAATCCTTCTGGTAACAAGTCTTCCAATTGAGCTCTTCTGAGTCCAATTCACTTCTAACAATCCATAAGAATATTTGCTCACTTTTTTCTAAACCAAGTGCTATCTCTTTCAATTGAGCCTTAGAAAATCTCCCCATGCTTCCAAAACTTAACAACACGACACTTTTACTCGGTTGCAAGTCGAGCCAACGCAGACACCCATTTTCATCTCCACCATAAGAAGATGTAATCAGAGGTCCAATAGAGAAAATTGTGGGAGTAGTTCCATTAGGAACAAACAATCCTTTATTTAAAGATTCAAGTGCTTTTCCTTCAATAGCATCAAAAGTGTTCACAATAATTCCAACACTTTTTGTCATGGTTTTTGCAGATTCAAGCAAAATCTTGAATTCGTCACTCTCAGAATCCAATTCATCTGGGTAATCATCTGTTGTAAAATTCTTTGGCAAACCGGGAATTCGAAGTGGCATGTGAAGATCCTGAATACGTTTCTTAGCGTTTTGGTGAAGTGTTGGCAAATAGAGGAAAGTGGCTAATGCAATTGCACCTGAAGTGTAGTAAAAGTAAGTGGAGATTTCAAGTTTTGTGGCTATTTGATAGGCACTATAGGTGAAGAAATCTAAGATAACAGCTTTGAGGTTTGTGGTTTTGGAAATGGATTGAAGAATGCTGTCAACATGATGGTTGCTTTGTGGAGCGATTTCAAAGGTAATAAAATGTGTTAGAAGTTTTGTAGGGAGTGAAATTGGAGGAATATAATGAAAACTGATTGAAGGAAATGTGGCTGAAACTGATGCTATGTAGTGTTCTTGGGGAGAAAGAGTGGTGTCTTTGTTGTTGGTGTTTTTGTTGGGTGGTGTAAGAATTAGAATTGTGATGGAAAATGAAGGGTGTTGAGTTACTATGAGTTTGCCTAATTCAACCATAGACATTAAATGTCCACTACCTAGAGCAGGATAAAGAACTATAGTGTCCTTCATGTTTGAGAATTTAAGCAAATGGATGAATATTCTTTTTGAGGTGAACTCAATTTTGTGTAGTTAGAAAAAAGAGAGAAAACAAGGTGTATTTAAGGGTAACTCAATTGACTCTAAAATCTAAAAAAATGTGTTTTATTATTTATTAATAATATAATATATTTGACTATTCTAAAAGAAAAATCAATACGTTAGACTTGCTATTGATGAATGCGTTGGTTTTGGAATATTTTTATCGATAATAATAATAATATATAGTAATAATTATATAATAGTAAAAAATAATAAAAATTGAAAACTATGCAACAATAAACAAATATACTTTTTTTTCTTAATTACTAAATATTTTTAAAATTCAGTGCATCATTAATTATAAATATATCAATAATAGAGAAAAAAGATAAAATAGAATAAGTAAGAATTAGAAATATTAGAAAAAATAAAATTAATATAAATAACGAAATTAATTGGGTTTTTGTTACTATCACAAATATAAAAAAAAGTCATTTTAAGATTAAAAAAAACGAAGAAGAAATCGACCAACTTAAATAATGATACTCTCTTTTACTTTAACTGTCTATTTCATTTTTGTCAAAACAAAAATATCTATTTCATTTTTGTAAAAAAAAAAATCTTTTACTTTAACTGTTTATTTCATTTTTGTCAAAAAAAAATGCATTTCATTTTTGTAAATGATATTAATTATATATATAATTGTAATTTTAATTAACACTATCTTTATCGGTCTGAATTAACTATCCTCAATTTATATTTTGATACTAGTCAAAATATTAAATCATAATAAATAATTGTCTAATAGAATTCAATTTTCTCACTTATATATATATATATATATATATATATATATATATATATATATATATATATATATATATATATATATATATATATATATATATATATATATATATATATATATATATATATATATATATATATATATATATATATTTAAAAATGTTTATTATTCTAGAATAAAACAAAATGTAAGAAACGATATTTAAAAAAAACTATAAAGATATATTATTGTCGTATCCTAAAATTTTCTATCCTATTTTACTCAGGACATGCTCATTGAGGTCTTAAATTGCTCAAGGTTGACCAAGAATTGATCAGACAAATTCTCCTCCTAAGCAACGAACCTCTAATTAGGATTTCACTTTTTACCAATATGTGTGAGATCCAAAGATCTCAAATGTGTTCCATGGTCCTAATATGTATTCAAGATTGTCCATGACAAATTCCATGTCTTACACTACAAGTTTGCTCAGTCAATTGCTCAAGTGTTTGAAAATCAACTATACTAGGTCAAAAGTCAATTGTGGCCAATATACAGTCAAACTTCAAGATTTTTGGTTAACATCAACATTTTTAAGTGATATCCATCATTTGATAAAGGTTTGATCATGATTCCTCAAGGAATGCTCTTAATTTATCAAAAGTCAAGAATTGCTAAATTAGGGCTTTTATAGGAAAAGTCAACTGAACTTTGACCAGACATAACTTTCACACACTTCATCCATTTTCCCCCAACCAAAACTCATTTTGAATATAATCCAATTCCCTACAACTTCTCTTTTATCCTCAAGCTCAAGAAATGCATCATTTGGAATATATATGCTCATACATTACATGTCATTTTCAAAAAGTCAACAAAAGACACTTTTTGTCAAGACACCTTACACTAAGATAATATCTTCAAAAGCAAAAATGATCGATATATATATATATATATATATATATATTGTAGAGGACATCTTGGGCTTTCCGAAAAGTCAAAGATCATCTTCAAAAGATGCAAATTGAGCAAGTTATAGTTTGTACAAGTTAGGAAAGTTTGTGAAAATTGCATGAAGTCAACTTTGAGCAAAATTGCATTTTTAGGTTAATGGACCTAACTTTTAGGGTTCAAACATGTTTATAACATACACAAGGACCTCTAAATCCATTTTTGCATGCCTTTTGTGATACGGTGGGAGAACTGACTGTTAAATACTGGTTTGCGTTTTTTGTTCGCTAATGTCGCGGTAAGCAAGAGTCGCCACCGACTTTTCTTTTATCTAACAAAGAAAAGGGTGAAAAGAAAAAAAGACCTTTTTCAAGATTTTCTGAGTAAGGGGGGGTAGATTATGGAAAGGGAAGATGTTATCACCCTTTCCATCCGTAGTTTTCTACGGGCTCTTACGTACTTGCTCATTTTTGAAAATTGCTTTCGTGTTTGTGTGAAAAGTTTTTGTTTGAAAATGCCTTAGTGCGGCGATTCACTTTATGATAACCCTTTTATCAGTCCTCAAGAGTGTGATAAAGTGTTTTGAAAAACATTGTTTGAAAAGTGTTTGAAAGGGTGGTGTGTGAAAAGAATTGTTTGAGCAAGTACCTAACAATTATCTACCTACTCGAAAAAAGTTTGTTCTTTTCCTCCTATCCTTTAGACAATGTTATCCTACTATTAGTGAGTAGGTAGCCCTAGTCGTTGGATGTTGAGGGACTATCAAAAAGGACGTACGGTCATTAAAGGCAACTGGGCAAAAACTCTTAGTAAATGTCCTAAATCCCTAAGATCACTTTTTAAACTGAGGAAACAGTTAAGAGGGTCATCGAAGGACTAGTGATCTCTTAGACTCAAGGACAGCCACTAAGGATTCTCACGTTTCGAGAATTGTGACCGTATTCGAAGGCAACCAAAGTGGGAGATACCCTAGGGGTGAGCATGTGCAAGTGTGCTTGATTCTGTTCATTTATCTTGCGTATTTAGGGTTATCTATGTTCAATTAATCACATCTTTCATGCAACCCTATTAACCATTCATCTAAGTAGTTTATCGTGCGGGAAAATAAATGGCGAAAAATAAAGTTCCTAACTATTACAGGACTTTGGTGCAATTACATAATTAATGACTGAAAAGTAAAGTGCAGAAATTATAAACCCTAATTAAACTATTACAAATCAGGCGCAATTACGTCAATAATAAAAGTAATCGAACGATAAAATAATAACGCGCGAGAATTAAAACTGGAGAGAAAGTTTAACCTTAAGAATCTAATTTGCTCATTTGAAAATATTTTTGGGATTTTTTTATGAAAAAAAGAATTGAAATTTAACCTAATCTTATAATTAATTTTAATTAATGAAAATAAATTAAGATTAATTAAATTAATTAATTGGAGAAATTATTAATAATAAAAAAATAATTCTAAATAAAAAAACTAATATTTTTAAAGAAAAAAGATTTTGCAATTAAACCTAGGTTTTAATTGATTTTATTTTAAATAAACAAATCAACATAATTACATTAAATTAATTTACAAAATTAATTTTTAATAAAAAAAACCTAAATCCTATTTTTGTGATTTTACTGATTTTTATGATTAAATAAAAAAGATTTTTCTGAAATAATTAAAGAAAACAGAGAAATTAAATAAATAATAATGAAAAAGAGAAATTGAGAAATAAGCCTAAGGGGGGGGGGGGGGGGGGGTGAGCCCAAATTGGGGTTGCAAGCTGAAATTTTGTCCCAGGCCCAGAAGTTGTAAGCCCATAGCCAGCGTGTGATTCAGTGTGGAGCAGGCTGGGAGATCTATCGTGTGACTGCCATCCTAGAACGTCAAATCAAGTATTGATTGATCTGATGGTGATGATGGTGAGACTTATAGTACGCGCATTGTGGTTGGGAGTACAGGATCTGAAAGCAAATGTTAGGAAAAATAATATGCAGGAGGCAGGGGTCAAACCCCTGACCTCTCACACACACGTGCCTTAAGTCCCTTCAGCCTTGCCATATGAGCCAGCTTATCATTTGTTATACAAAATAAACAAAATATAATATATGCAATAAAGGGTCAGTGTTTGAGAGAAAACGCGTGCAATTCAAATGGCCCACTCATGATACACCACGCCTCCGTCTTCACCAATGGGCTGTCGTTTTTGCCAACAGACCTTTACCTACGGACATGTCTGTTGCTAAAAACCTGCATATTTCCAAAATTCACCACAAGCAACATAAATTTTATGTAAATACATAGATCAACTGGGTTTGATCTCGTGAATACAATGGTATCCTTCTTTTGGCCTATTTTTTCTTGTAATGAAAAACCCCAAAACGGACCTTGAAACCCTAACAATGGCAAGCGGTCAAAAATGCATCAAAACAAACAATTAATCATTCAAACATGCTCTAAATGATCATATAAACATGAATGCATACTCAAAATTCATTTATAATGCATATATTGGCAAAATCGAATTCAAGAACAAGAAGCAAACCGTGATGCTGTAGATGCTTGCTCTGGACGTCTTGATGCGTGAAAATGATCCAGTTAGCTTCCAAATATGCCCAGGAATTGATTGCAAGTGTCAAAACTTCTTGAATCCCTCTGCAAAGGTCAAACTGATTGCCACTTTTTGTGAAAAAATTTGAAGTTCTTGTGTTAATTTTGTGTGGCCAACCCTTCTTTTCTTGGTCTGGGAATGTTATGAGTATATAATGGAATGAATTAGGTCAATAAAACTGGATGCAATCTTGAAGAATTATGAAGAAAAGATTTGATTTGCCATGGATATTTAAGTTTCTAAAATAGGCCAAATCATGCTCTTTTTGTTCCAATCATCCCTTGCATGAAATATTTGATTTTCCAGCTGATTCTAGACTCATCATGTGGTCATAAAAACCAATCTTGGATTTTATTTTATTGTTTCACTATTTTATTTAATTTATTTTGATTTTAATGAATAAAAAATAAAAAAAACTAATAAAAATAATGAAATAATGTATGAGTGAGCTCAGGGGTCGAGGGTCATGTTAGGAACAAGTTTCAAGCATGAAAACATGGGCCCATTTGGAAAAAATTCAAGTTTGGTCATTATTTGCTTCATGCACATTTCCATAAATTGGTCAACTTTAGCAAGGCATATCTCTCTCTCATTTTTAACCCTAAGAGGGTGTTCTCTGACTTTTTAGGAAGCTTAGGATGTCCTCTAAATAA